CGTGCCTTGAACAATACCCAACACACTAAAGGCTCCATAAATGTTTGCGATTGTCTATTTCTGCAAAGTTAAATCATTTCCTTACAGCCAGTGGGCGTTATCTTCATGAGGAAAGAAAAGAACTCTTTAAAAAAAAAGAGAGAGCAGAGAATAAGAAAGAACTGTGCCACAGCCTAAGTTATCAGAGACAAAGGATTATACTAGACCTGCTCCCTTTTATAGGTCAGACCCTCATACTTAGGAAGCAGTCAAATATTTACAAGGATGAATACAATGTCGGAATGAATAGAGGGAACTTGGTCAAAGCTAAATCAGACTTGAGACAGTTTGATGTCTCAGACCATGAGGAAGTTGGATACATGAGTGAACGCTAGAGATGGGAAACTGCTTTGTGGCTTAATACAAATGCTTGCTTTCAGTACTTCCTCTTGATGATGATGGTGATGATGATGGTGGTGGTGGTGGTGATAGACTTGCCCTGCCCACCAAACCCATTATCTTTGTTTTCAAGACTGATTTGTGTTGCCCAAAAATTCTTGACTAGGTCATCTTCCACTTGAGAGTTGTTAACTTACCAACTGCCATCTTAAAGAAAACTCTTTCCTTCTCCAAGCAGCTGACAATTGCCAATAGCTTCATGAATTAGGATGGGATTGCATGCCCAGTTCCTCTCTCCATATGGGTGTTTGGTCTGGTTTGGGCTTGCTGTCACAACCACTGTGAGCTCACATGTCTCGCTGCCCTGCTTATAGCTTCCTTCCTGATGTTGTATTTGTGAAAAAGTCCAGGCCTCCCTCGGGCCAAAACATCCCAATTTCTATTCTTTATAAAGTAATAAACAAGCTAAGTAACCACAAGCCCATGGAGAAACCACAAGCCAATGGAGGAACCACAGCTCATGGAGAAACTATAAGTTCATGGAGGAACCACAAGCTCATGAAAGAACCACGAACTCATGGAGGAACCACAAGCTCAGAGAGGAACTACAAGCTCATGAAGGAACTACAAGTACATGAAGGAACCACGAACTCATGGAAGAACCACAAGCTCATGGAGGAACCACAAGCTCATGGAGGAACCACAAGCTCATGGAGGAACCACAAACTCATGGGGGAACCACAAGCTCATGGAGGAACCACAAGCTCATGAAGGAACCACAAGCTCATGAAGGAACTATAAGTGCATGGAGGAACTACAAGTACATGGAAGAACCACAAGCTCATGGAGGAACCACAAACTCATGAAGGAACTATAAGTGTATGAAGTAACCATGAACTCATGGAGGAACCACAAGCTCATGGAGGAACCATAAGCTCATGGAGGAACCACAAGCTCATGAAGTAACTATACGTGCATGGAGGAACTACAAGTACATGGAAGTACTACAAACTCATGGAGGAACCACAAGCTCATGGTGGAACCATGAGCTAATGGAGAAACCACAGGTTCATGGAGGAACTATAAGTTCATGAAGGAACCATGAGCTCATGGAGCAACCACAAGCTCATGAAGGAACTATAAGTGTATGAAGTAACCATGAACTCATGGAGGAACCACAAGCTCATGAAGGAACCACAAGCGTATAAAGGATCTGCCATCTGAGTGGTTTTATGTCAATATTGGATTCCTAACTCCAGCCAGCTAGTCATGAGGTCATTCTAATGGTTCAACTGGTGATAATGAATATTCGTGTGCTGAGAGTGACAAGACACTTTTCAAAGTGGCCGTTCAGGAGCTGCCAGGTCACCTTCAGCAATGCCACAGCACATTCAACAGTAAAGAAAGCAAGCAACTCATCCCACCATTGTGTCCATTTCCAAGTTGATCCAGTTGGTATGATCACTTCTCTGAAAAAGACTGCTTAGAGCCAAAGTGTGCTGCTGCACACCTATAATCCCAGCACTAGCTAGATCAGAGGGTCAGGAGTTCAAAGTCAATCTCAGCTACATAATGAGTCAAGTCCAGTCTGGACTAGCAGAAGCTCTGTCTCAAAACACCAAAATAAGACAAAATGGAGTAACCCTTGGCCTTTAGCTCCCCAAGACCAAAAGTTACTTCTAAGTGTCTCTCACCCAAGCCCGACAAAGTAATGAGTTGATGGTGAGACATGGGTAGTTTTCCTTCACAGTGAGTTTCAAAAACCCTGAAATTCATCTTTACCATATTCTTTTAAAGTGATCAGAGACTTAAAACTAAAAGCCCCGACCAGGCCTGGTGGCACACACCTTTAATCTTAATCCTCAGGAGGCATAGGCAAGGGATCTCTGTAAGTTCCAGAACAGCAGGGCTACACAGAGAAACCCTAGCTCAGAAAACAAAAAAAAGAAGAAGCCCCAAAAATAATAGGCCCAGAAGCTCAGGTTTTGTTAACCTGGAACAAGGCCTGGATCACTGGGACTGATCAGGCTGGCCAGGCTCCTGCCACCCGAGATGCACTTTCTCTCTTATCCCTAGGGTGGCCTGTATCTGGAGACAGCAGCTCCTTCTCCTTGGTCCCCAAGGGCTTCTCCATTTCTACAACCCAACTAAAGATAGTTGGGCTTGCTCTAAAAGGACCCCTGATCTGAGTTCACACCACTTTAAAGGGGTTAATGGCATTCAATTATTTCTGAGCCACTGCGGGAATCACATGACTCCATGAAGCGTGGAAAATGGTGGATGATTGATGATGTTTGCAAATATTTTAACATCTTCGGATGTTTTTAATGGCTTGCTGAACCAAATTGTCATTCTCACAATCTATATACTGCTAAAAGCACTAGCTTGGCACTAACTCTGCTCTGGGGGCTTCCTGCTTCGTGGTTAAACCTTGAACCCTTCTTCAAAACAACCATGAAGGCAGTGTTCCTAGCCATGCTAAGAAACATGAACATAGCACTCCTCCTACAAAGGAATCCAGATCCATAGAGAAGCAGCCCGAGGCTGTGGTTCAGCAAGTAACCTGAGTCTCGCCATCAAGATTCGCTGGAATATGCTGGTCTTCTATTTTTAGTCAAGACCATGCAAGGGAAAAATAAGAAATAAGCTGTTCATTTTCTTAAGATGCAAAGCCAAGTGGGAATTAGGACTTTACACTCAAGACTCACTGAGCACACAGACCTTCACGCAACCCAGAGATCCAGTAGGCTCCAGTGTTTCCGCCCACACATTCCCTGTTCCAAGTCACCCAGCAATGGCGGGCCATCCTCTAAACCAGCTGTTCTGACCTTCTTAGTGTTAAGACCCTTAAATACAGCTCCTCGTGTTGTGGTGATTTCCCCCAATCATAAAATTACTTTGTTGCTACTTCATAACTGTAATTTTTTCTACACCATGATGTAAAATCTGATATGCATGGTATCTGACATGCAACTCCCAAAGAATCATGATGTAAATATTGATATGCAGTATCCCAGAGGGGTTCCGATCCACAGGTTGAGAACCGCTGCTCTAAACCAAGCCCAACTTACCCAGGCATGTAAGGGTTCATCACGTGCCTGGATCCTCAACCCTTACTGACATGCGATAATTTAAAGCAAAAACAAAACTATGTCTTTACCCCTCCATGCTCCATCCTTCACACACCTGGCCAGGCGTGGTCGAATCACAGTTTGGCCCTTGAGATCTTAAAAGCGCTATAGACTGCTAAGAGGACTTAGTAGGAACTGTGAGAAGCAGCTAGAGTCTCTTTATGTTGGGTCCGGCAGGCAAACAGCCCCAAATAACCATAGGCATTCAATCTGTATTCAAAAAGCTCTTCCCAGAAGCAGCACCTCCCAGGAGCAGAGGGGCTGGGAGAACATAGCAGCAAATCCCCACTCAAGACCAAAGTTGCTTCTCCTTCTGGGAGGGAGATCTGGACAGGTGCTATTTAGAAAGCACAGGAAGGCATCCAGAATCATTCAGCTCCTCAGAAACCGGCTCCCTGCAAGGCCTGGAGATACTGAGGATGGGCTCTAAGAAATCCAGTGGAGAGAAGTGTGGGGTGTCTTTCTCTACCTCTACAAATAAGCCATGCACTAAGGGTGTGGAATCTGGTGGTGTGGCTCAGGTCACCCCTTTAAGCATATATATGGTATGGCTCAGGTTACAAGTATACATGTACATTCATATGTGTGTGTGTGTGTGTGTGTGTGTGTGTGTGTGTGTGTGTAAATGTTCTAACACATAAACTACTGCATAAAGACAAAACAACATTCAAACATAAAAAGCTTTACTCATTTTAAGTCTTGGACATTTTTACAATATTGAAAGCATCTTGGGGACAGGGATTTTTATGTCCTATTAATTTGTGCTACTCTGGGGAGTCTTTGAAGGGGCTGGGCGCAGGTCCTCCTAGGGAGGATGTTTCTTGCCCCACCTTTTGGGGACACAGAGGTATGTAGGAGCCAGGACTGCATCGGAGACAAACAGCAGATGTGTCCTGATGACCCGGAGTTTCTCCCCCACAGCACTCATGGGGAAAGGGTCTGATTCTCTGGGCTGCCCAGTCCCTTTTCCCTTCCACAAAAGTCTGGGAGACTCCAAACCATCACACTGTTCCCTGACATGCCATCAAGCCCATTACCAGGAGACCCCTGAGACCTCCCCTCATGCCTGCCATATCTGGCTTCCTAACAAATGAGCTATGCTAGTTCACTAGGGATTTTGTTTTTCTGATGCACCCTAAAGATGTCCAAATCCTGCCACTCCTGGAAGCTTGACTCCAGGGCTTGGTTAAGTCAGTCTGCCATCAGGAGCTGGCAGACACTTGGAGAGCCCCTCTCCCCAAGCTGCTTAACGTTCGTGCCCTGTGTGTGTGCGGACAGCTGCATCAAGCCTACAAGTGCACACACCTGGACTACAGGTAGCACACAAGAGCACCCAGCCTTCCAAGTTCTCTTTAAAGTTCCTCTCAGACTAGTCGTATGCACTGTGGACTTCCATGGGAGGTTTGAACCTACCACCCTCACCCCTACACCGGCCTCTGAGCGCCCCCGCCCCCATTTTCCATCCCCAGGGCTGGTGGCAGCCGTACTCACATCTCGGAAGCGGTTCCAGTACTTGTCACGGTCATACTGGGAGACGGTGCTCAGCCACTGGTCATTGTCTAGGAAATTGGCGTTGTTGAGGGCCGCGCCACCGGCCAGCGCGTCCAGGTGCCGGCTGTCCACTTGGAGGAAGCACCACGCCGCGGCGGCCGCCACGAGCACCGCGATCGCTGGCATCTGGGGGCAGGGCGCACGGGCGTGAGCCGGTGACAACAGGGCTACCTCAAGCCCCTCACTCCCACCGAGTGTCTGGGCGTCTCGGGGCACACACAAGCTGCAGCGCCTGGGCTCAAAGCGGGGACAGGGTGGTCCCTCTCACACCTGGGACGGAGGCTGCACCTGGAGAGCCCTTATGAATGGAAACAGCTACAAACGCAGAGCCTAGGTCACGGATTCGGGGGCCGCCGTCAAACTATAGAGGACCCTCTCACCCGCTCTCGGATGTGGGGCTCCAGTACATCTCCCCAAAACCCGGATGCTCAATGTGCCAGCCGCACTCCCACAGACGGGGCCCCACAGCTCTGGGGCAGGGATAGGGATAACGGCGCTCTGAGCATCATCCAAGGCTCTGGCAAATGGGGGCTACGGGGTGCCCTCAAGCCGGGCTTCTTATTCCCAGCTAAGGTAAAGGTCTCTCGGCTCCCGGCCCGCGGCTTCTGCGCAACAGGGACTCGCAGAGATGCCCCCAGGCCCTGACCCTGCCGGCCCCAGAGATGGCCTCGGGAAGGTCCCAACTACGCCAAATATGCCAAGTTGGGGCTCAGTGCTCTGCGGACACGTACCTTGGGAGCCCGCCCGAGTCCCGGTGCCCGAGTTGCTGGGGTTCCTGTACCGCGGTGGCTGGGAAGGCTGCTGCCCGGCTCGTTCCCCTGCGCACCTGCCGACGCCGCGCGTCCGGCCGCTTTGTGAGCCCGCAGCGCTCTGGCTCGTCTCGGGCGCGGCGTCCGCGGGCGGAGAAGCCCGAGCTCCTAGCCGAGGCCTCTGGCTCCCCCTGGCGGCTACTCGGCGCTGAGCGGTCCCATGCAGGAGCGTGATTCATTCGCAGCTCTCTGCAGGGCTGACACAGATTTCAAGCCCAGGGGAATGATGTTAGAAGGCCAAGAAGTCGCCAGTGTTGAGGGACTCTCAGAGAGTAGGTGGTCGGGACACCCGCCTTAGGATCTTTACGGTGGAGAGAGAAGAGGGCCCCCCAACTTTCTGAATCCCCATTGCTTAACGGTATCTCTAAGAGTCCGCCCTTTAAATAAGCCCCTGATGTCTTGGGCACAGACAATATTTGAGTGAACTTCTCTACTCCCTGGTCCGAGCCAAAAACCCAGAATCTCTAAGTCTGATCCCCACCCAAAGCTACCCCTAGGAGTCCTATGGAACCGTCCTCCAGCTTCAAGAACTGGACAGAAGGAGAAGGCTAGCCTTGGTCGGGCCCTTGCTTCTCTTTCCAAATACTCAGCAGTTTGGTTTAATAGGGCTGGGAGGAACTTAACAGGTGCCCCTGCCTGAAAACAGGTGCACTCCCTGCCTGCTTCTTTGCACTGCTGTAGCCTATTGCTCGGTACTCTGTTAGAGACAAACTGACCACGAGCGCACGCACACACACACACACACACACACACACACACACACACACGGAACTCAGAACACTTCATAATACTTCTTTGAGAAACACCAAACACCCACCAAAACCCTAGTCCCCTGTACACCTGGTCCTTGCCCTCCTACCCTTCTGCCCCTTGCTCTGCTCCCCCCTCTCCTCCTCACTTCCTACACAGGCTAGCCCTGGGGTCAGACCCCAGTGCCAAGAACTCCTCCAGCACCGGGCCCACTTTGGTCCTTGTCAAACTTGAGCTGCCAGAACCTCTGGATGCACTCTGCAGCTGCCTCATCTTCACTTGTTCAGAGATTTGTGGTCCCTGTGATTCAGGCCAAGACCTCAGTGACACTGTCCCGAAAACTCAGTGTTTCTCCAGCTGCAAGCTCACTGTGCTTCAGGTCACCATGCCAAGCGTGACCTTCCCATGGACTGGAACTCTATGACAGTACAAGCTGTCTTGCTCTCAGCTGCTCCTCCGTGAACAGGGCACCGTTCATGATACACCACAAACAGTATCAGAGGAATTCTGAGCCCCACTTTTCAATATGGCCCTACAATGACATGGCCACTTGTGAATCGGGCTGTAAGAATTTGGCTACGGATGGTATGGTTTAAGTGGAACTGTGATTTATTTTAAGCATAGGCTGAATTGCAGCTCTGCGCACTCTGGGAAGCCTTAGTAAGAGAGATTTTTTTTTCATGTTTTCTTTTTTCATGTTGGGGAAACACCTCACCCAGGGAGTATCTTATCACGGGGATAAATACACTGAGTATCTGATGTCATAGCTAAAGCGAGAGAGGCTTGGAATAGTGAGAGGAATGCGTCTTACATTTCGAGAGAAACTTACATGCCAAGTTGGGGCTCAGAGTTCTGCGACACGTACCTTGGGAACCCACACGAATCCCAGCACCCGAGTTACTTGGCTCCTGTATCGCGGTGGCTGGGAAGGCTGCTGCCCGGCTTGTTCCCCTGCGCACCTGCGTCACCGTGCGTCTGGTCCAGCCGCTTTGTGAGCCCGCAGCGCTCTGGCTCACATACGGACCTATGCGAGCATTACCTCATCATTCCTCAGCCATGTTTTGTCAGAGGCCCTGTTTTGAAGAGTCACATCTGATGTCATTTTGCCTTCTCATAGCCAGTTCTTTCATCAAACCATCTTAATCTACCTCTGAGCCCACTCAGTGATTTGCCACACCAGCCGCCTCCCCTGCTCAGCCCTGGGCTCTTTCTATGGGATCCCGAGGGACGGGTTCTCCTGGCTCTCTAGTCATCACGGATCTTCCTGTACCAGAGCCTCAGCCATGCCTTACTGTTCCACCTTAGCATACTTTCCCTAGGCATCTGCATCCCTTGTGGACCCCTGCTGAGAGTCTATAAGTCAACCCCAGCCCACCGAGGTTTAAAAGCGTCCCCCTCTATTCCCAGCTTCACACTCAGCATCTTCAGGGCGCCCAAAGGGCATACGCTTTTCATACCTGTATCTCCAAGGCTTACCGCAGACGTTAACATTGAACACACAATAAATCCAGTGATGGGCAGAACGAGCAAATGCCATACCTCTGATGCACCTCAAAGTCTTAAACCTCCATCTCCAACCTTTGGGTCTCCAGAGCAAATCTCTCATTTTTCTGGAAAGACCTGTCCCTAGTCTAATTAGAGGGCATCTGCTCTTGGCCAGGTGCCAGGCTCACAACTGGAATCGTCCCTGTAACCACTGTTCATAGGAAGGGCAGCCAGCACCGCACAGGCTGGAGGCGTGTATGTCAGAGCAGGCCTGAGCCAAGAATGGACTTAACCTTGTAGTAGGGTGAAGAGGCTGGCCGCTGGACACCTGCCATCCACTCAGCCGGTGCTCCTGGGGTGGGGTGTCAGATTTATTCGGCTGTAAGAAGCACCCAGGATCGCATCGATACCGTGCCTTGGGGCTGTATTTCTGTTCTTCATTGGCTCACATACAAGTACAATAACTCCTTGTTTTAACATAGTTCTCATTTCCAAGGAGCCCACATGTTTTATTTTCGGTTTAATGGATCCTCAAACATGTGCTCCTGGCTAGACTGAAGCAGACAGAACTGTCGCCACTTTCTGCCGAGGAGAGGGGATGGCAGGCAGAACCATGAAGGTCACAGAGAGATGGTCTAGCCCAATCTAGGAAGTCTAGGGCAGCACCCCCTCAGGACCCTTAGCTGCCAGGCTGGGATCAACCTACTGGGCCCCAGTGACAGGGGTGCATTCTTTGGCTCTCTGCCTGGGTTTATTTTTAGCTACAAACTCATATGTCTTCCTGACATCTGTCATCTCTGTTCCAGTACCTCAGCTGCTCCGAGTTCAAAATGTCAACAGTAGGATGCTTGAGTCTCATTTCTGGCCAAGCCTCCCTGACCTATGACCCCACCTCAGGGAAGCAAGATCCCAGTCCTGGCATCAACTCCAACCTTCTCAGCCCCACGGTCAATGACCTTGTAGGATTACTCGATTCTTGAATTCTTACCAGATCCCCCTCCCTCATGGCTGATTCTCCTGTGTCTCTCATATGCACTGCATAGGGCTCTGGCTGGGTTAGCCATCTTTGGATCACCACAGAAAATTCTTGTGTGGGCGCTGGGAGTGAAGGAACCCCTTCACAGGCATATAGAGTCTTCTCTCCATGTAAATGTGACCTCTTCTCCATATTTACTGCTCTTGCTGTCCCCTCAGTACAAATACCCAACATCTCAGCTTGAGGCCCTGTGCCTCCCTCTGAGCCCTCCGGCTTCCCCCTCCCCCTGCCAGATTCCTGCTTTCCATTATGACCGCCCACCCTGACCCTCTGCAGAGCCTCTCCTGTGGACTCCCTACAGATTGCCTACTAGCCTGTGCCCACCCTTCTACTAACAGTCTGCCCTCCCTACCAGGCCACATCATCACCCCAAGTCCTCAGACACAGCTTCCCTGGTCTCCACAACCTCAAGGCCCTCAGATCTACTTCCTACCCATCTTTCAACAGACACACTCAGCAGAAGGGAGGCGCAGCCTTATCCAGATCTATTCTACTTACTATTGAGTCTGTAGCGCTTTACTAAACCAAATGCACATAGTAGGTACACAAGAAATACTGACTTAATTGGAGAATGTATGCACAAAGCTCTGCACACAGTATGTAAACAGCCAATGCTAACTGAGCGAGCAGAGACTCGAGGTTCAATGGTTTTTATTTCTTTCATTTCTGAGAAGCAAGGAAGCTCCCAAGTTTATGCTAAGAGATTTTAGGTCCCCAAAACCCCTTGGGTAGAAGACAGAGCCATGAGAGAACTGTGACCTTGCACTTCTGGGCCAGTCTGTCATAAACATAATGCTATAATCAACTGTCCCCTAAGAGGGACAGGAAAGAAATTGATGCATTTCTTGTCGCTATGGAAAACAGCTCACCCAGCAGGGCCTGTAACTTTTATGAACACATTGATTTCACCCATTGATCACACGTAAGCAGAAGAGTCAGGGTCACTCCATCTCCCGCATCCCCGGCAGCCATCCCTCCCTCCTCGAATGCCTTCCTGCCTTCTTCCCCTCTTCAGAGCCATAGCGAATGGGTAGCCTATCTCAGGAGCCACTAATCTTAAGCAAATGTGCATATCACAAAGAGAAGAGAATAAATACCAGAGCTCGAACAGTCAATCAACTACACAGAGTCAGGAGGGAGCCAAAAACGACCCTGGCAATCAGTACCAACAACTGATTCCATGGCTGACGCTACATGACCATGTACCCATGTCAAAGAGCCCCATCTTATCTGGGGAGATGAATCATATCCAAACTATAACACCACTCATCCCAAGTCACCAGGTCAAAAAACAAAAACAAACAAACAAAAACAAAAGAGCCAGGGTTTGAACCAAGAACCACCTCAGGCTCTTAAGGCTCTCACTGTGAGCTGCTGAAGCGCTCAACTACATGGATGCCATCTCTTGCTGTGACTTGTGGTGCTTCCCTCAGGCTCCTCAGCTTATCAAACGGCATAGTGAGAAGTCATAAGCTTTTACTGTCTCATAAGCATACGTGTACGTGTATGTGTGTATCTGTGTGTGTTTCTCTTTGTGTGTGTGTGTGTGTGTGTGTGTGTGTGTGTGTGCATCTGTTCCTGTGGCCTATATGGCCTACCTTTCAGGGGATCCAGTTCTTTTTGGTGATTATGTGCAGCTAAAGGCTTTAGCAACTGAGACAAAGCACAATAGTGTCAGAGGACTTCAGGTGACACACACTCCATGGAGATCATGGAAAA